CCCGTATAAATCCTTTGCTGATTGTTCAAATGTATATCTTATTCATGCATTCATTACTGCCATAACAACGTAGAGTGTAAACAATAGACAGTACCATTACTTTCTAGGAATGGAAAAAACGTACTTAGAAACAATCCCTTCATGGCGTTTCACATAAGCAATATCCGCATTGTTATTAGAGATAAAATTATGCATTTTCCCCCTGCCATTTTCTTGTCGGTCTTTAACTAGTCACTTGCCATCACGAAGATAGTCAAGTGAACCATTATTTGTGGCATTTATCACAATGTTATTGTCATGTCACCGCACCAGAAGCATCTCTAATGTTCAATCCTAGACTCAGTCGATAGCCTCACTACATAACTTTTTCATCTCTTTGAATGGCTTCAATGGAAAATTGATCTTGGTCGGTGTGATGGTGGCTGAAACATGGGACGAAGAGGATCGTTGCGGTAACGATGAACTGGGGGCAATTCAGACGAAGGCGGACCGCGCACGACTGCTCCGGCTCAGCGCATAAGAACAGCAGCGTGATTTGCGGCACCTAAGAAGTGTATTGGTCAGCCGTATGACGAGTGGGCAGCTGACGCCGGAGTCCAGTTTAACGACACGCACCGCTGCGTCAGCTAGCCAGTCGGAGAAGCAACAACCTAATAGACGAATTCCCAATCACACGTCACCACAGAGACTATCAGCGATGACAACATCGCGGCTAGACGTAACCCTCGGTTCATTGAATGCCAATCGGTTCAATAATTCAAGAATACTAGATAGGATGAAAAACATAAGTTTACAAGACACACAGAATGGATATGTAAAAAAATTAAAATCAAAATGTTCCGACGTAGAACGTGAAATTTCAGTAATTAAACCATTACACTTTATCAAACTGTTGTGTAGCATTTATCAAGCAGATGAAAGTCTAATCTTCATTCGAATCTCCTGATGTCTGGTGCGCCCACCACATATGTTGGTAATACATTCAAGTGTGAAGAGATTCGAATTAAGCAAGAATACTTTCTACACTTCCAATGGGTGTTGCGGTATTAGTTTTAGATGATTGCCTCGGCATTGCTTGGAAGGGGTTACCGTCAACAGTGATGCACATGGATGCTCGCTTTCAGTTAATATCTGGTACGTGTGGCTAAGCTCTCCGCGAAGCCGTCCGTATTCTGAGGAGGATGCACGGAGTTCGTAACCGAGACCGGATAGTTCACGCGTTGCCTTTGTGGCTCTCCTTTGCGGTTGGTCCAATGGGTGAATGTCTCGTTTTAACCATTGACACCAAGCCTGAAATGCATATTCAACGTGAGGGCGAATATAGGAGTTAATCAGCATTGGTATTAGCTGTCGGGCGAAGGTACCGAGATATCGCCTCAAAAGCCTCAAGTTCACGTTCGCCATAGTTGCTGCTTTCGAACTTTGGAACGAATTGTCAAGACTTCCTTGCACGATTATACCTAGGTCGCGTTCACTGGTAACGCGTTGTAGGAAGTGTTGTCCCAAAAGTTTTAAGGGAAAAATGGAACAATGGCATAGCATGGATAAAATAGCCAAGGCTTGACAAGTGCCGTAGATGGTTTGGAGGAGCAACATTAGTTCATACAGGTTGCATAAAATTGAAAGAAATACGCATGAGTGGACTCACCATGTGATCCACATTAACGCAAATGTATATCCGTTTATCCCGAGTTCGTGGGTTTGTTGAGCACAATGTTTGCTTGCGCCATGTCGTCACTCAATGAATACAAAATCAGCTCAAGTAATCTAGTTGGTGTAAAGCATCGCCGTGTCGCTTTTGGAAAATGAGTAGCCGACGCGCGGAAATGACATACATCGAAGGAGCGTTCCACGGTTGACAAACCCGAAAGGAAAAATTCTTCCGACGGCATGTATTAGCAAAGCCGCTGTGGTCCGTCAGCAGGTGGCACTTTGCATGTTTCAGTGGGAGCTGGTTCGTTTACGCATATTTGTTAATCCAAGCCAGGTCTTCCTGAAGATAGTCATGGTGGAATGCTGAGCCTATAGCTCTACATATTTTAGCATCAACTACAAATATTTGTCCCGGGGATAGAATTTGTGGTGGAAAGTCATTAATGGAGACAAAAAGGTAGCTGGCCGAGGAACCAGCAAGAAACAAATGCATGGAGCTAACGTCGCAGGACAGGTAACAAAGAAGAGCAAATAAGCGGATGGCAGCACAATACAGTACGTAGCCTATTGAAAGCCATGATTTTCCTTAATAATGATTTTGATCGCCGCCCAGACTTTGTTCTTAAATCCGAGAAGGCTACTCGACAGTCGGCTTCCATGTTGTCTCCAAGGATTGTAACTTCTAACTCTCCAGGAATATCTGCAAGAGATATATTTCCTGCATAGACGAGATCATTACTTTCATAATCCCCCTGAAAATTCACAGATATTTGGTATTAGCACATAGGTATCGGCTTCCGAGTATTCTTCATTGCACTATTCAAGAAGATCTTCCACCTCCCCCAGAAGAATACAGCTTCTTGGCACCATTCACTGTGAAAACGGATAAACTAAGTAGCGTAACTGCAGGACATTATATATTTACGCCACCCTTCCAGTGTCATTCGCAGGACAGCGGAAACGCCTTAGTATTACGTTTGAGTTCGCTTGATTGATATAAAACTCGGTTATGCGGACGTGTAGATAGGTTACTTACTTCTGCATCATTCTACCTGAGTACAACCCGCCTAGATTTATCGTACCACATAAGGAAGGTCGGTAGGTGCTTTCAATGCCATAAAGCAAAAGCTGCTGCACACGCCATATGGCACAGGGCCGCCTCCAAGGAAGTGTCATGTCAGGCAACTTAGGGCTAGCTTTGAAGGTTGGTCGGATCAGGTTATAACTTCGATACAGCAGATCTTGGCCTATGCATACATCTATCTGCCTTTTACTTGGACACCTATAGATAACGGTTAACTGCTTTATGGATATGAATTTAGCGACTTTCCATGGACTATGTAGGAAACTTACTCTTATGTACCACCTGGGCATAAAGGGCACTAGTCTTCTGTTTTGTATGATAGAATATCACGTACAACTCGTCAGAAATGCCATTGGTTTTGGTAACGGAAATTGCTGTATCGATCACACCGGGCTTTCTACATTCCGCTGATGTTCTCATGATTCGAAAATTACTAAGGCATTAGGTGGCCGCACAGTACTGCTGTGATTCTTCGCAAGATTCATATGCTGCCGACGCAGTGTGTGCTTCGTTTTGACAGCCAAATGTAAACGGTTGATTAAATACCGACCGAGCATTGAAATCTTTGGTTCAGAATGTATTTAGCAGCACACTTAAACTGGGATTTACCCATATAGATGGCCGTGTTATCCCGTGCTATACTGAAAGTGTCTGAACAAATACAAACACCTGAAAGTGCTCGAGAGGTTCCAGCCCTTTTATTCTTTTAGCGCGTAGCGCTTATGTGTGGCCGCACTTTGAACACATAATGAAAGCATAGACACGCTGGTATAAGTAGGAGCTTATTGTAAATGCGATCCTATAATGAACGGGTGACTGGGTGCTTTAAATATCTGATCAACCTGCAATGAATATATCCAGTAAAACATTCCCAATTGACCACCACCACTTCTTGACCACTTCTTTTAGTTGTCCGTCATTTCGTAGCTTCAATATTTGCCATGTGAACCTTATGGAGCCAAAGCTCCGTATGTTGAACATCTCTATAAGCTGTATGTTTACCACTTGGAAAACCACAGCCATTATTAACTAATCCTCTAATAGTTGACCACGTGAAAATTTACTATACAATGGTAGCCGAAGAACTCGTTTGTCAAATAATCATGTGTATTTAGCGAGACTTTGCCATAGGTGAATTTCTCCTGATCCAAAAACACTGCACTTTACACCTCCGCAGATATTTGAATCTCTTTCAAGAAAATCATTTAACTCGAGGAAAACACACTGCGTTTGGATTTAACTTTGTTTATCGTTATGTAATGATTTATCTGATGTATTCAAAACCGGAAGTACATGATAATCAGTTGTATAGTGCAACTTTGGTAACGTGATATTAGGATACACTATGCCTTCTTAAGACTTCCACATGTCAACCCCCGTGATCAATTGTTTCAGCGGTTAAGTTACAGATGTTTTATTGCCGAGTGGAATCCATAGGCTCTGCAGTGGAAAGTACTGATATCTCCGAAGTAAACAAAGCAAGACGGATAACAGATAGCGCAAAACGTTTATTCTGATTTTCTACGACTTGGCAAAGTTAGAAATCTGGTGATATACAGGCTTATGTTGGTGAGATGGTGCAGCAGTTTAGAAACTAAGAGAAAATTTTCACTGAATATTTCACCTGTGGGTTACTCATCTAAATCGCCTTATTGCTGCGCACGTTATCTGTAAGTAGAAAACGGTATGACGATATACCAACTCAAATACAATACTTGATATTACCTCTGTTAATTGCCCATCTTCCTTCCCATAATGTCTGGTGGCTGCATTTATATATCTACTTGCGTGGACATACCGGTAAATTCAAAACCACGCGATTCTGTTTGCTCATAAGTCTACTAGTATTGTGAGATTCTTCACGTCGGTCATCCCATGCGACTTGACAAGCGTTAATATATCTACCTGCTATCTTATCGCTATTGTGAGACGGCAGCAATTACATGTGATTTCAACGAATGCCTAGTACGTTTTAGCGAAATTTTCCTCATCTGTTCTGCTGGCATTTGCTTCCATGGCATAAGCCATTGAGTGCACCACACTTACCATATGGGCTGCGTGGGCGTGCGCGACTGAAGCCGCCGAAGGTCGGCAAGCTGACCGACGACAACAAAACTTAATTCTGATTGGATCATGGACGCTAGCTAGACTTGGGTCATTCAGTAACGGGCGCCTGCGCACGCATATAAACAGACCGACAAAAGCTTGAAAGCAATACGTCGAAGGTGGAGTGAGTAGACGCTTGTCTCGACCTTATTGTGCAATGTCGTATTCATTTTTGCTGATCGTCGTTTGGGTAACTTTGTGCCACGCTGATGCTCGATTTGAGTGTACCAGTGAAGTCCGCGATGAGATGAATCGCTGCATGAATACTGCCGTGAGCAAATCAAAACGGAAATGCACCAAAGGTGAGTCATATTCCACATGCAGTGACCGGGTTGACGGGTAAATCTTCAACAGTAGGAAGGTTGATGTTGTGACGCTGCCCTTTGCCTCTCTCTGCGCTACCAACCAGCCGGGGAAAACAAAACGCTGAGCCTGCTAGACCGAAGTATATTAGGCACAAAACATGGCTACTTTTATAGGTCACATGCGCTTACATCGCCTCTATCACTGAGGTGAGTCACACCGCTTGTCTGAACATATTCGACTCCTGGTAGCGGCCATCTCTCTCTGACTGTAGGTAGGATCACGTCCGCAACATAGCAACCCGTGCGGCGACGACGGTCTGATTTCGTCAGCTCCCGGTTTGACCATGACAACGAGCCTGTCAGCCGCTCACGTGATCTGGCCGATCTCGCCCCGCTAGTGTGCACCATCGTAGTCAGCTGTTTCGCCTCCGTAACAGTTGAATGAGCCAGCGATTATGTTGCTTATAATAATTCTACACTGGGAATATATATAGGCTTTGCATCTGAAGTAACTAGCTTGCATAACAGAATTGATCGGCGTATACCTTGTGAACACGAAAGAGTAGATGGTGCTGGAAGCTGCCATTTAAAGAAGTTGAAGAGCGTGAACGCCCCCTACTTCTCCACAGAAGTAATGTTGAACTACCAAACGTCAACCCATCAGCAACATTCGGACTCAAAACAAACATAGTTCTAACAGAAGATTGGATTACAAGGGATTATCATGCACTCTTATTCACGCACCTAATTGCGCGCATGGAAACTGGGTGGGGCTCAATCTTTATTGATATACATCTCTGACTGGTATAGAAATACCCATCGATAACTGCTGCATGAGCTTCTTGTTATCAAGAAAGCAAAATCTCAATTTAAATGTTAAGGTGGAATGCTTGTTACCGATTAGTATATCAGTGCGAACCTCCCTTTTCACATACTGACGAAAACTCCAGAGACTTCATTGACGTACATACCATCAAAAATGTACACTTATCAGGTGTTGTTTTGCCAAGCTAATTATTTCTTTCATGAGTTTAATTTGAGATACGTAGACACAAGTTTGTTGGAGACATTTTGCAGAGTTAAACCGCTCTTCGAACGGTGAGAGAGTACCTAAATTGACTGTACCGTCCATCTGGGTCACTGTCAGTAATGGATTACTCGGGCTTCTGCCACTACTTGGACAGGTTGGGCAGATGTAATCGTTCAGGGACACAAAACGGTGACCAACAGGTTTTCGACAGGCGTCACAAGTAGCTCCAGTCCTCTTGATAGCAAAGAGTATGAATTTGTTCCTTTAGGTTAGTATGTAACATTTACTAGCAGTCTGAGACGCAGTTCGCTTTGAAGTAGACCTCAGTCATCCGGATCATCTACACCACAACCTAAGCCAAGAGTTTTCGATTTGAGTCGCATCAATACCACCCCACACTTGGTCTCAGCTTGCACGGGCTCTTTAGTTAGAAGCAGCTGAAGATGGGAGTGAAATCCCTCAAGCAGATGTTGTCGACATTCGCCTTTTAGGTTTCGGAGCCAGTCGACGCCATAAGAAATCCTTGTTACACCTGTTGGGGATTCACTTTTGTCATGCAATACGCAACCGCATATTCAACAGCCATGTACATAAAAGTTAAATTCAGCCATTACAGGCAAATGAACGGTTTTCAGCATTGCCCCTCTCTCTCAACGCTGTTCTCCACAGCCAGTCCAAATATCATCAAAAAACTAGGAACTCCATGTTCTATCATTGAAGTGCCACGCCGTTTGTTTGGAGTACAATATCGAACCTCAATTTTGCACGACAATACGCTTGGTATAACATTTGTTCATTAAAAGTGGGAAGACGATCCCAATGATCATATTGGCAACCGAGACCACAATAGATATCTTGTGTGGCATTCCAAGATACAAGCAGGTGCTCCAAAACCCCAAAATCAACTTTTATCCTCTTTGTCAATCACTACTCGCGGAGTTCACTGGCCTAGTGATCATGGCAATAGCCGCCAACCACTATGTGCTGATTCCCACTTCCAGATAAGGCTGTATCTACGTGACGAGTCCAAATTGGGACGAAACCGGTCGGCCGTAGATTGCAAGGATGGGAGTTAACGACACACGAAACCCTCCACCTCCGATGAGGTACTAGTGATCGGCATGACAGTCTGACTACAAGGTCAAGCGAGGCCACAATGGAGGTTGCGTGTCGCAATCCAAGACACAGGGCGAGTGCAAGGATGTTATTCAAATCACAATCCGTATTGTTTTCATTGACCATTTTCTATAAACCGTAGGAATTCTTTCATCTATATTTTATGCTTCCATAGATCTCTCAAGAAAGTCCGTAAAAGTTTAAAGTTGCGTGAAACGGGCGCAAATAACCCTTAAAAGTGTGTACCGTTCATTGAGTGACCAATATCAACCCAGACAGTAATTTAACAGACCATTACACAGAGTGGGATGCCAGGGACTGATTTGGGTTTGGCCACTAAATAAACCGCCGCATTTAGAGGGTGTTCCTACCCACTAGATGAAACATGAAAACGTTACTGAACATTTTGAACGACCCATGGAGAAACACAACTTAACTAAGGAGGAATTTGAAAGCGCCGTGGATACAATTGACTTAGAAGTTACTGAGTTTTTAAACTCTACGAAGGGGCTCTCAGCATCACGGGTTTTTCAAACATTTCTCTCCTAGGAAGTGATGCAGGTGCTTGGAAAGTGATAATCGGTGAAAGAGATGTCAGTACGTACGGTTACAGACTCAAAATTTCCTAACCCAGCTAGTGTAGCTTCCGCAGGGTGGGTTGTGCAACGTACGGTCCAGCGTTACAGTGGAGGGAAATGGGTTAATTTATTTTGACCAGTGTTTAAGACTTTGTTGATACCCCTGATGGGTTTCTGGAAAGTGTTGAAAATACTTCTTGGCTGTAATGATTTCGTGTGAATCCAGTGAGCTGTGATGGATCAAACCAGCCGTAGACACCATTCACTATAAGTACTTTTCAGGCCCAACTTCGGCTTTGGATTTGTTGTGGAGTTTGATCACAATTAATCTATTAAGTACAACGTCGTTGATTTTCATGAACGAGCAAATTTCTTTGCACGTCAGGAACCGGTCGATTGGCAGATCGTTTTAGGTAAGCAGAACAAGGAAAGGACATTTCCGACCGACGATTTCTTTGAATTGTTTTAATTTGGGTGACACTCCTTTAACGCTCATTTTCACCAGTCTAATCTCCCATAATTGCTTTAAAACCGTGACATTCATAACTACTATCAGAGACTTGATCTCAAACAGCTGTATATAGAGTCGGCTCAATAAAGGCCCTTAATAGATAGGTGCGCGTTTCAGATTGCAGTACACAACGCTCTTCAAGGCTTCCGTCAACTTTTCGAAATGTTTGAAACCACCATAATGCAGTGGGGTCATTAGTGATTCCGGAACAAAACACACGGGCCGTTTCTGTCTGCTTTTCCATCGAGTTTAAATTGGGACAAGAGGTTGTGTAAAGTTGTCTTGTCAGTTTCTTTTAAATGTCATTTTTGGTACCGGATCGCGTTTCTGACCTTATTTGCTGCTTCAGATAGATAAAATGAAGGCTTTTCAAAACTTCACTTAAGGTCAAAGCAATCAATTAAACACCTTGTTAAATACGTAGCTTTTGAATTTAAGATATGGAAAGCCACCATAATGTTGATGATAACCGAATACTTCTGTTGCGCAGAATCTTGTCGAAGAAGTTGATCCGATATCATTATTCCTCTACTTGTTTCATCACTGGTGATTTTCGCCTGTTGTGGCATGGGATCAGTTAAAGCATACCATCAGCATCATGGCAGGTTGTGCACATGAGGATGTCTGCATTGGACCAAGAGTTGCATTTTTCGGGCTGAGAAAGCTTCGCGCTTCTAGTATTTGATTTGTTCTAATGTATCTGCATCACAATAATGGCGCAGGATATTTTCCACTGTCACAGACGGCTTCTCACATTACTGGCAAAATTAGAACGTGTTCAGGATTTTTTCACAAATATTTTTGCTGTCTGGCCTTAATGCAAATGCAATGTTTTTTTCACCAATGGGCCACTTTTACAAGCACACCTGTGTCGACGCACATGGCCTCCCTGTGGACCAACTCTTACTCCAAACACATTCATTTCCGCCATTCAAATGGATATCCGGTTTTATCATTTTTATGTGTCAGCTGTACACCGTAGCGGTGCTTCGCTGCCGCGGGACCACCACCAGTTACACGCGAGCTGATTATACGCGAGTACGCCCAACCTAAGCAGATTCGAAGCGGTGACCTTGTGTTTGTAAGCCAGGCCTGCAGACCATTCCGACACCGATGGACAGCTTGGAGATAACCATTTATGTTAGTAATATAATTTGTTCATAATGGAGCAGTAAGGGAAGTGCAATGGTATAGGAAGTAATAATTCACGTGTAACCTCATTATAACATTTATTGAAAAGCTTGAAAAGCTACTGTGCAGCCGTTTGATCCCTTTCGGAAAATGTCAGCATTGCGCGTTTTGTCCGAGACATGTGAGACTCGAAGCCGCAGCTCGATTGTTGTTAGTCGATGTTTAACGCTACTGAACTACGTGGGCAGTAACCACTATCATGCTTAACTTACTCGATGTGATATAGCTTTGCTCCCTGTCTACTGACTTGCACGTTACTACCGTACAGAGGAAAGTAGCCTGAACCACAGACTGAACACAATCGAGTTGGATGTTCGAACTCCGCAGGGCCCAGGTGGAATGCGCAACATTGACGAGTCCTGCTCGTACAGTGCATTTCCAAGCGATTGGTGCCCATCTGACTGAGTCTAGATATGATGAATTTATTTCTATCCCGATATCATCTGCTTCAAGATGACTGTAATTAAACGTACGTGTATTGAATACTTCCATTTATCTTGTCAGATAGCTGAACACAGCGTACAAAGTCTTATTTCTACCTATTTGCAAAAAAGCAAAGCCTCGATGTACC